AAAGCCTTTTCTCCTGAGGATGGTGGCCGTGGAGCTCATCTGTCACATATCATCCTGGTCTGAATCCATTTCTTCACGTACTTCTTGGGAGGAAGATGGCTCAGTTTCACAGGAACCTTTCCGGTCAATGAACAGTCTTTCATCACCGTATTCTGCAAAGACCATTGGAGTCAGGTAGTTACTTGGAGGCAAATTACTTTTTGGTCAGGAAATATTTCTTAAGAATATTGATTTTCTGTAATGAGTAACTTCATGGAATATTTTTCTGACTTTATTCTCCACAGATAATTGCTAAAGAGTTAATATGAGACTGAAATATATAGGCTCTCAAGTCAGACTATAAAAGCTTGACCTACGGGAAGCATTCATAGCTTTTACCATAAAGATTTGGAAACAGCATGTGTCACATTTATCCTCATCAAATATCCTAGCATTCAAGTCCACTCCCAGAATGCAGATACCCCGTGGTTTCAAAGTAAAAGCTGCATCCCGAGCTGGGAAGAGAGAAACTAAATACAAGTCCCCAATATCCCTCCCTGTCATGCCGCGTCTCTGTCAGTCCTCTTCGAACACAGGTTGTGGGAATAGCAGTGGGGGGCAGTCCGTGGTCAACCTGGCATTTTGGGAGGTAGGAAGACGCTATTGACTCAGGCCTCACTCAAGCAGGGTGTAATATTGTCCTGGAAAGCATCAAAATGGGAAATCCACTTAGAAGTAATATTGGATTATATTAAACTGTCACAGGGGCAGCCATTTTTCTCTGAAAGAGCATTTCTTCCTGAGGGCTTGTCACCAAGAACCGGGGAGCTCCAGGTGACTTTGTTGTGCCTTCAGCAGGTGGCTGTTTACTTGTCTGTTCTTCTGAGTTCTTGCTAAATAGTCTTATCACCTCGATTGTACTTTGCAAACATACAGTAAACTCCTAAATACCTCACCCCCCTTTCCCTTAGCTGAATGACCCAGAGCCCTTCCTTCAATTCCTGTGATTCAATTATATTCAGTTGACTTTAAAAAATTAAACATCTTCTTTTGAGATAACTATAGATTCACATGCAATTATACAAAATAACACAAAGAGATCCCATATGTTCTTTACTCAGTTTCCCCTGATGGTAACTTCTTGCAAAGTTATGGAACAATATCACAACCAAGATATTGACATTGGTACAGTCAAGATTCCATCCCCATGGGACTGTGGCCTTTTTACGGCCATACCTACTTCCCTTTACCCCCTCCTTAAGCCCTCCACAACCACTAATTTATTCTCTGTTTTTATGGTATTGTCATTTCAAGGTTGTATAAGTGGAATTATCAGCACATGATATTTGGGGATTGTTATTTTTTTTTAATCTTTGGAGATCCATTCAGATTATTGCCTATGTTGGTCATTTGTACCTTTTTTTAAATTTTAAATTTTTTATTTTATTTTGGTATCATTAATATAAAATCACATGAGCAACATTGTGGTTACTAGATTCCCCCCATTTGTACTTTTTATTGCTGAGTGGTATTCTGTGGCATGGCTGTCCTGCAGTTCATTGAACTATTCACCAGTTGAAAGATACCTGTTTTATTTCCAGTTTTTGGCTGTTAGGAAGAAAGCTGCTATAAGCAAGCATTCATGTGCAGGTTTTGCGTGAACATAAATTTTCATTTTTCTTGGATAAATGCCCAGGAGTGTAATTGCTGGGTCATACATAGTTGCAGATTTAGTTGTTTCATAAAGTGCAAAAGTCTTTTCTGGAGTGGCTGTACCATTTTATCTTTCTGCTGGTAATGTAAGAGGATCTAGTTCATCGGCAGTCTCACAAGCATTTGCTGTTGTCACTACATTTTTTTATTTTAGCCATTTGAAGTGGTGTCTCATTGTGGTTTAAATTCACATTTTCCTGATGTCTAATGATACTTCACATCCTCACGTGTGCTTATTTGCCGTCTGCATATCCTCTTGGGTAAAATGTCTGTTCAGGCCTTTACTCATTTTCTTATTGGATTGTTTGTTTTTTTTATTGTTGAGGTTCGAGATTATGTATTATAAGTTGCGTATTTAGATACTATTCCTTTGTTTATTCTTTGTTTATGGTTTGCAGGGTTGTTTTTTTTTTTTTTGTCTTTTTTCCAAGTCATAGCTTGTTTTTTTACCCTCCTAACAGAGGATTCTGTCCTTGTTGGGTGGAGTGTTTTATAAATGTCAATTAAACCCCATTGTTAATGGTGTTGAGTTCTACAATATCCCTGCTTATTTTCTGTCTAGTTGTTCTGTCAAAGGGGGCAGAGGAGTGTGTGGATTTGTCTATTTCTTTCACTTCCATCAGTTTTTGCTTTGCATAGTTTTAGAGCTTTTTTTAGTGCATATGTATTAGGATTTCTATGCCTTCTTGGTGAGTTTACCCTTGTATCATTATGCAATGTGTGTTTCTGTCTGTGTTGTTCAGATTGGGTCATTTCTATTGTTTTGTCTTCAAGTTCACCGATTATTTCCTCTGTCCCCCCATTCTGCTGATGAATCTATCCATTGAATTTTTTAAATTGGTTATTGTGTTTTTTTGGTTCTAAAATCTCCTTTTGGTTCAGTTTTATACCTTTGAAGAGACTTTCTATTTCTTTTCTACTTCTGAGACTTCCGATTTTTTTAATTTGTTTCAAGCCTATCCATAATTGCTTGTCCAAGCATTTTTTTTTGATGACTGTTTTAAAATCTATTTCAGATATTTCTAATGCCCCTGTCATCTTGGTGTTATTTCATTCATTTTGATATTTTTCTGGTCTTGATATGAGTGATTGTTGGTTGAAATAGGCATTGTGGATATGCTGTTATGAGATTCTGGATCTTGCTTAAACTTGTTTAGGTGGCTTCCTTTGACATTGGTGTGACAGAGGAATAGGTATCCCTTCATTTCTGCCAGTTTTGGGTAGAAGCCCAGGTTTTCAACTCAGCCTCCATTGACCCCTGTGGTGGGGGCCCCTTGTTCCTGGGTCAGAGTGAGAATCCCAGCTCCCCACCAAGCTTATATTGAGACCTCCCTGTGTTGTTGGGCAGCGGCCTCATCACTGCTGGGAGGCGGTGGAGTCCCAGCTCCCTCCCAGGCCTTTTCTGGCAGTACCCCTGCAGGGCGGAGCAGGCGGATGGGTGCTTCATTTCAGCCTTAAGATGGGAGAAGCCCTTCTGAGTAGCCTTTGCTGGCTTGAGTGGGAGTGGGCCACAGCATTTTCTGTAGTGCTTGACGATTTAGAGTACTTATTACCTAAAAATGTTCTGTCTTTTGAAGCTGCCCCTTTCATAGCCCTTTTTCTGGAGGGAGTGGGATTATGTTAGGATGTTTTTTGTCTGCGTCCCTTGGTGTTTCCAGGTTGCCGACTTCTTTAGTTCCAAGCCTGGAAACATGAGCAAAAAGAAACTCAGAGAACTCATTTCTGGGTTATACGTAGCCAGTTTGCTTTCCTTTCCCCACCTTTCAGAGTCGTCTTATGTTTGTTTTATGTGTAATGTCAGGGACTTTTAATTATACTTGGGGGGAGCAACAGGGAAGAGTATGTCTACCCCATCCTTCTGGAGGTGGAAGTGCTATTCGGTTTACTTCTGTTTGCTTTATCTTAAGCTCAATCCCTTTTCCTGCCTGATTTCTCAGGGTCCAAGCTTCCTCAGTCACACTCATATCAATTCCTTTTCATGGGGGTGAGAAATGAACATCCCAGGCCTAGAAGAACTCTGTGCATTTACGGGAGGAGTGGAAAGAATTCCCATACTCCGAGATGCGTGGTGGGCAGTCTATAGATTTCTAGTTTTCTTGCTCACCTTTTTAGGCCTGAGACCAACCAAATGGGGAGCAGGGTTATTCAGATTACTTTATATTCATTAAGGGGTCTTTAACTTACAGAAGAAGAAAGCTGTCCCCATGGCACAAGAGGAACTTTCACCCGGACATCCCTAAGACCCTGTAAGTGGCACAGAGGAGCAGCTCTGGGGGTGGGGGTCCTACCAGCTCGGCCTGGCCTAGCTTTTCGCTTTTGACTGTCGAGGGTGAAACCCGTGTGTGCTACTTTCTTGGAGCCAAGCTTCTCTAGACTTCATCCTTCACTGAGTCTGCTTCCTTAAAAGCCTGCTATTTAGGGAAATGTAACCTTGATGTAGAACAGCATGTTTTTAATCCAGCTATATGTAGTTTGGGATCCTGGTCCACTCTTTTGCTAGCTGTGTGACCTTCAAGTTGAGTCATTCACTTAAAAACTGTGTGGTAGCACACACCCCGGGCTGGCGGGCCACCATGCTAGATTTTTGGCATAAAGTAGTGGATGCCTTTTACTGCTTTCTTTGCTGTACTTTCTAGCCATCTGCAGGTCCAGCTGCTTTTGCTTTAAACATATATCCAGAATAGGGGTACCTATCCCCATCACCCCATCTTTTTCCAGGCTGTTATAACAAGTTCCCTGATTCTGTTCTTCCCTCTAACCCCTTGGCTCAGTTCATTACCTGCAAGGCAGCTAAGGGTGCCCCCTGCCCCCCACCTCTTATTCAGCTCTTACCACAATTTGGAAGGATCGCGATCCGTCTGCTATACTGAGCTCCGTGAGAGCAGGAATCATTCTGTCTCCTTCTGTGCTGTAGGGCCAGCATTCTAGAACAGTTTCTGGCACAGAGCAACCATTATTTGTTGAATAGTTACTTAATCCTCTTGAGCCTCAATTTCTTACTTGTCCCATAGAATAATAATTGGCCAGTAAAATAAGATTGTATGTAGATTAAGTGAGATAATAAGTGTGTGAAGCATTTAGTATGGTGCTTGGCTCACAGTAAGCCAAATAGTAGCGGTCCCTGTTTCACTATGAGTATTTATGTTATAATGTTCGTTTCCACTCCCCAGTTTCCTCCAGTACCTGCTCTTGCACCTACTGAACCATCTGGAGTGTCATGAGTATCTGTCAGTGACAGATACTGACTGGTTAGATGCTTGCAATGAAATCCTAACTTGGTTCTCTCTTGGCCATGTTTTTTCGTACAGGTTCTGCAGCTGGGCTCAGACATCCTTCCCCAGTACAAGCAAGAGGCACCCAAGACTCCCCCTCACATCATCTTACATTACTGTGTTTTTAAGACCACGTGGGATTGGATCATCTTGATCTTAACCTTCTACACCGCCATCCTGGTCCCTTACAATGTCTCCTTTAAAACCAGGCAGAACAACGTGGCCTGGCTGGTTGTGGATAGCATCGTGGATGTCATCTTTTTGGTGGACATTGTGCTGAATTTTCACACCACCTTTGTTGGGCCAGCTGGGGAGGTGATTTCCGACCCCAAACTCATCCGCATGAACTACCTGAAGACGTGGTTTGTGATTGACCTTCTGTCCTGTTTGCCATATGATGTCATCAACGCTTTTGAGAACGTGGATGAGGTTAGTGCCTTTATGGGTGATCCAGGGAAGATTGGTTTTGCTCATCAGATTCCACCATCCCTGGAGGGAAGAGAGAGTCAGGTACATTCCTCAAATCTCAGACCCTTGTTGTCATGTCTTTTAAGCTGAATGAAGTGTGGGTGATCAACAAGACTAATTAAATGGGGGGGAATTAGCATGACTAACGGCTGGAACACAGGGAGCATGCTTGATAGATATCCTCGCCTGCTGCTTGTGTCCTCTGGAGGCTCGGAGGCCCTGCATGTCAGTGAATGGATGTGGCAGAGACCAAAGCTTCCCTCTTATTCCACGTGGAGTGCAAGCTACTCGCTGAGGGTGTGGTCGGGTTGCGGAAGCAGGTGAATCTGGTGAATCTCACACTCAGTATGCAATTGCTGAATGTCTGCCTATTGATTATTCTAATTATGGGGACTTTTGTATCATCTGCTGCTGACCTTTGGCTGTTTGATAGCTAATTAACTCCTGGCAGCTGGGATGCTGTTTTCCCCCAAGCTTGCTTGCTTCTTTTTCTTTTTTTTTTTCTGTAAATGTTGGAAAAGAATGAGTTGTTTCTTTGATAAAATAAGTCTTGGAGGTGGCCAATAGCATTCAGTTATCCATGCCCTCTTGCCTAACTTTGCTGAAGCAGTCAGACTGTTTTAACTTGGCTCGTGTGGTTAAGAGGACTGGATTGCACTGCTTTAGACTGTTAGTCTTGTAGACAATGGAAAGATTTAAAGGAGATAAATGCTCAGTACATGTGTTGCAACCAGGTCTTGCTTGAACAGTCAGTGAATGGATGCCTGGGACATGTAAGGAATTGCTGGAGGGCCTGTTAAAGTGATTTTCTCTTGTCAAAAAGCAAGGATGTCAAGTCATTGCAAAGGAAAAATGTCAGATTCTTATCAAGGGTAAATGTTCTAAGGTAATTGTTCTTCCTTTCACCTACTCTTTAGTTGATACTCCAAGAGGATTAAGATAAGGCCGTTCATCTGGTATATCTTAAGCCTCCTGCTTTTATCTCTCCAGTGAATAGGACCTGATGTTCAGATGCTCTAGACTCAGAACAGCCCCTGCTTTTATCTGTGTGGTGTGTTGTAATATACTTTCAAATCCCAAGGAATAATTCTTTGGGTGACTTATAAGGATTTTGTAGGGAATTTAAATGAGTCCAGACTGATCATTTATAGGAACAAAATAATCCCTAAAGTGAATATTGGGATTCTTCAGTGTGAATTTCAGCGCATGTTGGGAATGATATTTTTCTCTGTGAGTACACTCCTAGAAAATTTTATGTTAGTGAGGAAAATATGATCATTTTGGCTTGGGTAATTCAACTGAATTATTTTAACCTAAAAGAGCTTCTTATGCACATATGGGAAATGAAATTTAACTTAAAAAAGCCACTTGAGTTTTTAAAATGAACCGTTTGCTATTTACAGCAATAGGATATAAATTTTGCAGACAAACAGAATAGTTCTGTGGCTTGCACCGGTTCTTATTAAGTTACACACTGGCAGAGCCATCAACACATTTGTAATGTGTCCAGATGACCTTGTAGGTTAGCAGAGCCAGAGGGCTTCTCCTCAGACTCTGTGTATGTTGGGTTGGGACTCTGTGGCTGCTCATTGTGGGTGCCCCGGACATGGTTTCTGACTTTCAAATTCATGAAATAGATCAGTGGCCAGGAAAAACATCAGCGATCTGTAGCTTTCTAGTTGGCAAAGAGTTTATGATCGGAGCTCTAGCTCATAAATAAAAATATGAATATTGAGGAATACAGTGACAATTTGCTTTTGTAAAGCCTTGATGTTATATTTAGTAATTTCATTTAAAGCTTTTTTTTTTTTTTTTTTGTAACAATTGTGGTGGCGTAGGAGAGATCAGCCCGAGGAAACCAAAGACTTGGCGTCTAGTCCTGTTGTTATCACCTGTTAGGGCAGCTGGGAACCTGTGTCTGTCATTCGGCCTTTCTAGATCAGTTTTCCTATCTACACCCTGGGGACAGTACTACTTTACCTGCCTGAAGGCATGGCACGTGGGCAGTGGATTATTTGAGTTCCTGGCCACCTGCAAAGCTAGAGTTTGCTGAGTTCTAAAAATCTCATCTGCGTTCATCTCACCTCCAGGAGGTGATTGTGAAAACAAGACACTCAGCATCCTGACTGTCGTACCTGCAGTCGGGTGGGAAGAAGATGGGATAGGATGAGAGGGCGCTTAGCAGGTCTGGCCTACTGAAGGCCAGAGCCTAGGAGGACCATGCAGGTCATGTAGTTCAACTCTCTTAACGCACAAGTAAGGAAACAGACCCAGGGGGACTATGATGCACTCAGGGTGGCACAGCAAATCATACGGTCACAGAAGGAATGAGTCCCCTTCTGACTCATCTATTCCTAATAGTGACAGAGTTGCTAAAATAAGGATGAAACACTAAAGGATGCAACTGAGTCGAAACTGACCAAGGAGCTTCTAATGGGTGTGGCCACCCTGTGGCCTGGTTGTGGTGTCCGGGAGGCTGGGGTCTGGGTGTGAGGAGGGGAGCAGCTGCATTGTCCCCAAAGCGGCCATGTTCGGGATGAGATGGGCAGCTTCAGAGGCTCGCCGAGGGGCAGACCCAGCATGTTTTTTGTGCCCAGGCCTTTTGTTAAACGGCACCATTAAATTAGTGGAATGGAGGGCTGGTGAGGCTCAGAGGAGGCTGGGTAGGCCATGAAGGGCACCCCACCTGTGGAACCTAGATTGGGCTGGTGGAAAATCCCCTTTTGAGGAGAATTCTGATGAATGGCTCAGTGGGTTCACATCCACCACATGCTGCCCTCTTACCCGGGTTCTGTTGTAGGTTTGCTGATCTAGGACCGGGCTCCCTCTTCTGTAGTCTCTTTCTGTGGGACAGTGGGGAAGAGACAAGAAATTATCAGCTCATGTCTCATAACAAATACATGGGGCTACATTCTCTCCGGTGGCCTCCTAATTATGCCAATGGCATCATGTGCTGTGGAAGCCTCCGAAGAAGAGGGGAACGAGCTACGGTGGCTTTGCCATCTGTGTGTGTGTGTGTGGCTGGGGTGTGGAGTTGGGGTTGGGGGGGCCTCTTGAATGAAAGGACTGGATCAACCCATGGCTTGAGTCGAGAAAGAACCAGGTTAAATTGCTCCAGCTAGTAATTGTGAATTCAGCCTGTGGATCTAGCCCATCTCCATGATTTAAGCCACACATATAATCCATTTTGGCCCAACTTGTTTCACTTATGTAGGTGGCCTACATTTGCGTCATTCTCCAGTCTGTTGGTAATAATCTGGTTTGGAAACAGTTTTGGGAATATGTTTGTGCATTGGTTAAACTGGTGAGAGAATTAAAGGTCTGGAGAGTGGGGGAAATAAAGCTTGGAGTGGGTATGCCGAAGCAAAAGCCAAATGAGTCTCTATTAAGCGCTTAGTGGATTATTGACCCGGTGTGCTTTGTGGATTATCCACAAAACATACTCCCTTTCCCAAGGAAAGCTTACTGCTGTGGCCATCGGAGTGTGGAAGTGCCAGCCATACTCTTGCTCAGGCCCCAGTGCCAGTACCATGGGTCTGGGCCAAGAGCTTCTTTCTGTCCCTGGCTCTGTAACCTCAGACAGCAGCGCCACCAGCTAGTGCCGGCGACATGGCTGACCTGGCCAAGAGTCTATTCTCACAGGAAATGCTCACTTTAGAGCAGGACGGGACCAAGGAGTGTGGGTGAAAAGATAACAGTGTGGACAACAGCTTCCCTTTGTCTAGTGTTTTTAACTTTCCAAAACATTTTGCTCAGATTATCTTTATTCTAACTCCATGTGGCAGTGGAGAAACTGCACTGAATGGGAGGAAGGTCAGCCAGGAGGGACTCTGCCTCACAGCCATGCCAACATAGACAAGTCACTCCTGGACTTTGTTTGCCCCACCTGCAAGATGGGTCCATGCCAGCTCTAACCTTCTGTGGCTCTAGGGCAGCTATATGCCTGCTTTGCAGATGAGGGGGAAAGGCCAGGTTGTCCAGGTGGTGACATGGGACTTCACTCTCCTGACTCCTGGACTCTTGCAGGTCATGCAGCCTCAGCAGAGGATCTGAAGAGAAAGTAAACCAAGCTGTGCATTTCAGAACCCGGGCTTGCCTCTCTGAATCATGCCCAGGCATGGCCCCTTCTGTCCCTGTCACATGCTGAGGGTGACAATCTGAGTGGTCAGCCTGGGCGACTCAGAACTGAGGTCGCTGGTCCACGTATGCAGGGCTGGTCAGTGCGTGGCGGTCAGAAGTGACTTGACTGTGGAGGGCTGGTTGTGCACCCTGCCCACCTTTCCTTGGCAGATGGGTTCCCCTCTGGTTCTCCTAGGTTTGCTAGCCCAGCTCTTCTCGGCTTTCCTTAACCCCGATGCTGAAAGCAAATAGGACCCGTATGTGTTGCTCGTCCTGAATGAATCTGTAGTTGTCAGTCCTCACCTGCAGTTTCTGTTTAGGTAGATGGACACTGGTTTGATTTTCATCCAGGGGATGCCTCTGCTGTCCAGCTGAAAGCTGGTAGGAAGCTGTCAGCTGAGAGGCATGAGATGGCCTGGGCTCTTCTTTTATAAAATGTCAACAGTACAGGTACAGGCAATTCCCATGGCTTATAGTAGCAATTTAAAAAAAATTAATGGACTTTTTTATAACAGTTTTAGATTTATACAAAAACAGGGTAGAAAGTATAGAGACCACCCAATTTTCCCACAGTTTCCCCTATTAACATCTTGCATTAATGTGATCCATTTGTTACAGACAATATTGGTACATTATTATTAGCCAAAGTTCACAGTTCATATTAGGGTCCATGATACATTCTATGGGTTTTAACACGTAGTTAGGAACATGTATCCACCATTATGTATCACACAGAGTAAGTAGTTCCATTGCTCTAAACATACTGTGTGCTCCACCTATTCACCCTGACCTCCTCTCTAACCTCTGGTGGCCACTCATCTTTTTACTGTCTCCATACTTTTTGCCTTTTCCAGAATGTTGTGTACTTAGAATCATACAGTACGTAGCCTTTTCAGATTGGTTGCTTTTGCTCAGCAGTCCAT